TTTTAAACATTAAGAAAAAGTAAATAATTTTCTTACAAAATCATTAACCAAAAATAAAAATATAATTGCAAACAGTAACAGTGACAAACAAAAATAATACAAATACAGATTTCTTTCTCCTAGTTTTAGTGTTCAATTGTCAGTGTCCATTTCTATAAATACTGAATTGCCTTATTATTTTAAGACACACGATCAAATAGTACACCATACAAAACGTTCATGCTTAAGAAGGACGATTATAATTTGTAGAAAGCTGAAATGCACAATGAAGAAAATTAGAAGTGATGTGTTCATCACCTTACAGGTTCGGGAAAATTACGTGTTTCGACGTATCGTCGCACTGAAGTTCTTGCTTAATGTACTTTGGCATTGAAATTTTATCAAACTCCTGTTAGAAATCTTTAAATCGTACCCCTCGACAGCTGAAGCAAAAAGTGAAAAACTTTTAGCACAAAATAGATGAAACCTAGAATTAAATAGGATTCGCGGTATTTACATAGAAGAGAACTCCTCTCCGCACTAGCATTCTTTTGATCACCGTTCGTTAATTCTAATGATCTTTCAGTCGCAATATTACACAAAAGCGAGACCGGTACTTTCCCTTTTTCTTTGTTCAATCTGATTACGTATTTCGACACGTTAGAGAGTATTTTTCTAGATAATCAAGTATGCAAGAACATATTAATCATGTGGTAATCGTAAAATGCTTGTACATACAATTATTTAATTAAGATTGTTCTCGTTTGGTTACATTAACGATTAAAGAATGACATAGTTAATAATATTGCTTCTTACAACCGACGATTTTCAATGAACATCATCGTTCAACAGTAATAAAAATAAGTGCGTTTAATTTTACGCAGTATGTTACACAGAGACGTTGCTTTGTAGATCATAGAATTACTCCGGTAGTTATTAATAGTGTTTGTTACAAGCATTGGAAAAATGTAGCTACTAAGAAGATTCAAAAGCTGCAGTAATCTTTCAAACACTCATCATTTTTCATGAATTATAATTGAAAGGAAATTTTTTGTGGTTTTAAACATCATGTTCAAATTTTAAACATGAGTCATAAACATGCTAGTCAACACTACAGTAGTAATCTGTTAAATGCGTACAGTGTGGGAAGAATATTCAGAAATCCTTGTGTAGCCTTCTTTTCACAAATAAAATTTATATATATATATATTGTAAGTGAAATACTTTACCAAAAAATGGGATTTTTTTTATGATGGTACTAAACATGTTATGATATTTAATACACTACAAAAATTTGTGTTCGGAGAAATTAAATTATTAAAATTAAAAATAGTTCTTGTCATTATTTACTTTTTCTAGCTTTGGAAAGCAGTAGAGTTAGTCTATAAGCGCATTTATCAGATCATACTTATATTAAAATTCAAATCATATTGACAAATCTTATGAAAATATGTTTGCGATCAATTAATTGCGGCCAATAAACGTTCCTTGCCAGTTTTTTTTCTTTAAATTCGTGCGTAGTACTGCTCAATTCAAGGTATTGCTAATAACTGCGGAAAGTGATCCTCTATCAACAGAGATAGTCGTACAAAAAAAAGTTACAGTAAAAAGTGCTTCGATAAAAATAAGATATTATACATAGAGTACTCTTCCGTATAACTACCGTGACACTTATCACGAGACGACGCATCGAAAATACCAACTAATCGATAATAGGTCTTAATTTACGTACAAATTAAGATACTAGGGCATCGCGACCCGACGATAAAAATGATTAAGTAAACGATGTGAATTCATTTTTCTGGAGCCAACAAAATATGTAAAGACTCACGTAGAAACATATTACATCGTTAACTATGTAATGTACAGAAAGTTCCAGCCCTGCTCTAACGTTGATAAAGAGCTTTGTGCTATGTATAATCGTGTGCATTGCATACTTTGTTTTTCTTATTGGGTATGGAATGTGATTCTCAATGCTGATTTCATTAAGAGGAAACTCAAATTCTCTCGATTATAAGTAAGATTTTCCCATGTAATCTATTTGATCAATGGTTCATCTTCTTTTTGTATGTATTTTTCTTCCTTCTAAAATATTACATCAATTTCACAAAAATATCCAACTTATTATATGTTGCATCTGATTTTATGTGAAACGAATTTTAACAATCATTCAATTTTGAAAAAATAAAAATATTAAAAATACTACAGATGTTTATGAAATTTACACATTTTTAGAAATACATTTTTATTAGGTAAAGCTAAAACAAAAATATTATTTAGGTTCTTATTTTGCTATGTCGCACACCAACATTTTCGATAAATGCATAACATCCATAGTCTACAGATTACACATAGTATTTTGAAAAAGATGGTTTGAATGCTGAAGTACATTATAATTATGTTATATTAACATAAATGTCATTCGCAGTAATAAACCAAAGATCCGAAGTGGAAGTAAGAAGAATATATTTCTCATAGCACTGTTCTCACTTTATAGATTTTAGAACCAAAATTGTGTTGATTTACGAGTATGTATTTATACTGGCCGAGGTAGGATACTGGTATAAAGAATATTTCATTGACAATCTGCAGTTCCAAATCACAATGTGTGAACTTGACATTACTTTTTTATTTCTTTTTATATATTTTGAACACATTTGTTCTATAATCCGAAAATGAAGCAGGCGGGTATGAAGTGAAAATAAGTTATATTTTGATATAACATTGTAACATATATAAAAATGTATGTTATTATGAATTACAGAGTCTCTTATTTCTCACATAAATCATATAAATTAGTCTGTCTGGTTTTCGAATTCATATTCATAAAACCTGAAAAAAACCATCTTTCTCAAAGACAATGAGACAGTATAAAATATTAAACGCCAGTGCTTTAAATATATTTGTTTCTTTTTTTTTTTTAAATAATCGAAACCAATTATTTTAAATTAGTTCATTTGTCATAAGAATGCATAAAAGAAAGAATTTACTAAAAACTCTTTCTGTATTTAATCGGTGTTATCGCAGTAACATACTCGACTAGTTAATTGAAAGACAGACACCGAGAATCCCATTCATAAATAAAATATTTATGTATATATTACGTGTATATATATTCTTCTGCTTTATGTAAATATTCAATATATTAATGTTTGTCGCAACGTGTTTACGTAAGTTTTGTTGCTTTGCTAAGCAGGAGCTGGTGAGAGTATACGAATAGAATTCCATAAGAATCCAAACAGAAAGCGATCTGCGACGAATAAATCTGTACAGAGAGTAAAGTAGTGAATAGTTTGGTAATGGATGGCGAATGTATTGTCTGTCCACTACGCATATCAGCCAGGTAACCAAACGCTTATATATACACTGGAGACTCCTGGCCAGTTAACAGCCTAAACATCGACGTGGGCATCGTCTTCATTAGTATCTGAAATACAAAATGAGGATGACGATTATTATAATGGTTGCTAAAATGTATATGATTATTGCAATTGACATATGTTTTTTCATACTATCATCTACAGAAAAGATGTCTAATATAAAAGAATCCTAACAAACAGAAACCTATTGTCACACGCTAATTCATAATTTAGATATTTCTGATATTTGGTAATTAAGAACAGAGAATTATCTACTGTATTGTAAAAGTTAACAGATTGTACAAGATCCTATGCCTTGTTTCAATTATAATTGAAAAATAATCAAGGTCACTTATCTTCAGATAGTGTCAAATAGTCAAAATGTATTCATCCCATTAAGTTTCTTAAATAGAAAACATTTTCTTTCAAACATTTTTTGACAACAAATCGGTATATAACATGTTATATCAGTTTTCTACTGTCTCATTCTGCATTGTTTTACATTAGAACATGTTAGACGATACGAATACTTATAAACTGGTCTTACAGTGTAGTAATAGATCATAAAGTTGCTTCCAATTATGGTTGAAAATGTCGATGTCATAGAAACTGCAGATTAAAAATTAATTTTGACAACAAACATGCTGATAGCTCATAAACGAACTACGTTACAACATAAATTTGTAACATTAAAAAGAAATGTTTAATTTTTGTTAATTAACTCAGACAAATATGCGACTATGCGTCACAGCTTATTCTTTTGGCCTAAATCAACGCTGATTTGAATGAAAGTAAATCTACTAGTTCACAGAGTAACATCGAGCAAAAATGTACGTACTTCTCCGACTGATGTGGCAAGAAGATTGACGATCTTTTCGTGCGGCACGGCAACGACACTTTGATTGTTAATTTCGATGATCCTATGGCCCACTCGAACACCACCCCTTTCGGCGATCCCACCCCTCAATAGACTACATATTACTCCATTCTGTACACTAAATCCTAATTGATACTTGGTGTCGGGTCTCTTGATTTTCACCTCGACTACTGGCGCGCACGGAACAACGGTCAACTTGACAACTGTCTGATTTTTCGAATTCTTGATGTAAGTCTGACAAGTGGAGAGTGGTAAACCAACTAACGAGACTCCGTTAATTGCTATTATCTGATCACCAATATTTAACTGTCCACAACGAGCTGCCGCACCAGCTGGTGCCAGGTTCGCGATTACTACCGTTGGTAGCATCGAGCCCCATCCAGACTCCACAATCACCACACCTAAAATCTCTCCCTTTGCCTTTGGTACCACCACCTGTAGACAAGCGAAACACCCATATCAGATATTATTGATAATTTATCACAAACAGAAAAGAACATTTTTCATCGACTTCTGTAAGACAGGTAATATTGATCTTGTAATCTATTTGCAGTTACTGCTACACTCTCCAGAATTTATTCAAATCTTGTAAATTCTGTGGAGGATCTGAGAGAACGGATTACACGGGAATGTGCAGCGATAATGGCAGATAATTTAAACGCAGTTATGAAAACAATAAAACGTTATCAGAAATGTTTACAATGTAATGAAGAAGCATTTGAGCGTCTTCTTCAATAATAACATGTTTTGAAAATATGTCGAGAATTAATAATTTTTTTGCCATGATACTACTCATTATTTTTTACGTATTACGAAGAGAAGAATCGATCTGTGCAATACAATATATGCATTTCCATTTACAGAAATGATACAATTGTTAATTGCACATGCACTGATGCGCTTAAAAAAATCTAAGAGTCTACAGATGTATATAGTGCTTTTCGAGCCATTTCATCTTCCTCCTTTGGCATTTTCCTGTAAAAGCATTAATAACGAAGTTATGACCTGAAACAATTGTGTGGATCACCCTGTATACGAAAGATAAATTAAATCTGCACTATGAACCTTGAACTATTATGTTTGCGTTGTCAGTTCTGCTTATTCAGTGATCAAATGCCGAGTTATATCATCAATTATAAATGATCTAAGCATACTCGGTTATATTTTTGTCAAAACGGTCCGCCCTTCGAGCGTGAATGAATGCTGCACAAAATTTAAAAAGTCTAAAACTACGTCGATGTTATTTCGTCATTTAACAGAGAAAATGTATTTTATTTAAAATACTGGTTATTGGAATCATTCATTCCGGACAGCTTCAAAATGTAAGCTAATATACAAATAATTATTATCTTGTATGCCAGGACAAGATGCTGCCTAACAGTAAGTGCGATACAGTACGATATTGCGAACTTCGTCTTGCACCCACCCTCTCTTTCATATTAATTTGTTATGGCAGATTTATGACAGCTACTGACCGACTTTTCCATTTTAACACTTTACTTACTGAAAGTCTATTAGTCGGATTTAAAAAAAAATTCTAGAGAAATATAATTTTCTCCTAAACAACAATTCCAGTAAAAGTTGTAACGTAATATTAATTCAATTAATTTCTTGGATTACGAATAAAATTGCTGCCGCCTTTGAGGCATTTTTCAAGTAACTCCTTTTTGTTAATATCCGATCTTAAAAGGACTATTATAGAAAACTCATGGTAGATAAAGCGTTAAGTGAATAGCAAAGTTTGATTGAACACAGTTCAGTACCGTGATTTCGGTAGTCGTACTTTTTTTAGTATTTGCAAATATGACTGCGCTGCTGATTGATCATTATGGCTCTTTGCAATGGCAGTTTTCGACACGGCAAGAAAGTAAGTACAATGAATTACCTCTTTTTGCATTTCCTTCTTGGCGAACATCTGCAATTCATCGCCGAATATCTCTTGAGAATTGAGGACCTCCTGGTAATCCATTTCTTTCACGAAACTGTGATCCTCGATCCCATTCGCCTTAAGGAATTCCATGTATGCCACTTGAAACGCCTGTCCGATGCTTTGCGCGATAAATCGAGCCTCCTCACTTTCGAACACGTGACAAATCATTTTCGGAGTTCGATTGATCTTCGGTGCCTCTTCGACTTCGTGCGGCACGAATCGTCTTCTCGCCATCAGCACCACCACGTCGCCGATATCCGCTATGTAAGATATCGTTCTTAACGCATGATCCATCATGATCTCCTTCAAGTCTGTATTCAGAACCATGATCTTCTCTGTCGAAATGAAGAGGTCAACCTCTGTGCTCGGTTGCGTTTCGCCATCCGGTGCCTGTGCGTACGTATCATTATTTGTTTCGAATGCTCTGGTGTCGGGACACTTGGCAACAAACGATTTATTAACCCTTTGTGGTTCCGACCGCACATAGGTTCTGCATTCCAAATGAATGCTTTGTAGATCGTATTCACCTTTTCCCATTTCAAATGAATCCCTTTGTAGATTCTCACCGCACTCTGAATTAATTCTTTGGTAGATTGTATTTACTTTTTTTCAAATCAAATTAACCCTTTTTTGCAAGTTTCATTCATCCATTAGAAAGTCAAATTCACTTTTCTTGCAAATGAATCGCTTCACGGATCAAAATTCGTTGTCTTTTGTTCAATTTATATAAACTAAAGATTTAAATACTTCCAATTACTTATAAAATAATACAAATTTTATTACAAATAATTGATTGTTTTAAATTATTTTTGACACGCAGTACAGGCTTTTAATTTGACATGAAATTTATTACAAATAATTATTTTATTTTAAAATTCTATTTTAGAATTTTATTCTAAAAAAGGTGAATTTTATTTGCAATGAGATGAATAAAACCTATTATAGGGCTAATTTAATTTGCAAAAAGGTGAATGCAATATATGTATACAGAGATTAATTGTGAACACAAAAAGGAGAATATGAACTATAAAAGGATAAATTTTGAGTGCAAAACCTGTATATGGAGATGCACGTAAGACAAAACGCCATGAATCATTTGCTTCCTGTTTTCATAGGGAGAAACTTTTTCAATTTTTACATTATACAGGTGACCATCGTATAACGCGATCATGAAATTTTCATCTTCTCACCCTCTTACTTTCATGTGAGTCAATTGCAGGAAATAAGAACTTCATGAGAACGTATTTCTTCTTCCAATAATTTTATTAAGTTGATAACAGTAGAAAGACATTTTTAAACTCATGTCTGTCATGCGAGGGTACCTGTATTCGTAAAATAATTATATTTTCATTTAAACTAATTATGATGCTATACTTATGTTAAGTATAAGTAGGGGAACGTATTGCGCAGCGCAAATATTAATCCTCATAATATGTTCCTCAGGTAGAAAATTCATCCATTTCTTTATATTAATTTCTAGACATTATTGAGATATAAATTGACAATTTTTTAAACTATCGATCATATCGTTTTGTATTACAACCACAGATATATGCATCCAGTAACTTGCCATCAATATATATATAAATACTATAACTTCAAATAGATATAACCATCACTAAATATTTCAATACATTGTAACGAAAAATCGCCATCTTGGATTGAGATTGGTTCACAGTAAGCGTTCTGAAGTATTTCACATTTAGGTAATCAATTGATTCATTTCAAAAAATATTACTCTTGGAAAAAAGTCTTTCGTCCGATCATAATAACTACTCAGGCAGTAAATTAGGAATAGTAAAAAAAAAATGTAACGATAGCAGATATTCCTTTGTAAAATGAAGAATATTGAAAGAGACTGCTAATTTAGGGAAGCATTCAATCCTTCTCAAGTATCGAAAAAAATATTTGACAGTTTCTACTGTCTTTTTCTTTCGTTTAAAGTATGTAAGTTTTGTTTATAACGTTTATGTACCAATGAACAGTGTCTACGCTATTTTATATTTAGTCAAAAGATAAAAGCATTTGTTATAATATTTAGACTGCGGATTTTTATGCAAAATAAGAATTGTTTGCAACAATTATACAGTATATATGAGTTAAATATAGATGTAATTGTTTTTTTAATAATTTCAATAAATTGAAAATAGTGTAATAAGATTCTTAAGCACTGCCGATGTCTTCATTGCACTGTGTTTCACATACCCATTTTTACCACAAATTCGTAAAATCCGCAGTCTAATAATATTGTATATATAGAGAAAATTTTCCCTAATTTTCCTTCAGCTTGTAAACGAAAATGGACAATTTGGGAAGAGGAGATAAGATTATTCGAATCTTGCGCCTTGTTTTTATAATTATTAATAATCGGCAACTAAAAAAAAAAATGAGCCGCGAGGCTCGTATAATCGTATCTCCTCTTCCCAAATTGTCCATTTGTTTGTACAAGCTGAAGGAAAATTAGAGAGAATTTACTGTAGTTCGTACCGTGAATGTATTTTTCAAATGTCGTTATCTCTTCTGTTCTATTTGTTTAATATTCATAAATACAATATTCTTCTGTTTCTAACATTCGCATTATATTATTATTAATGATTTTGATTCTATACTCCTTGCCAAGGGTAATATAAGATTGTTACATAAGCTATGGTTGTCTTCATAATTTGGAACATATTGTATATTTTAAATAAGTAGCTCATTTACGTTGTTAATATCGAAGATATAATCTGAACATTTTATGGTTCCACATTTGTTATAACTAATGTTTATTCAACCTAAAACGGTTGTGTAGTTAACGTCGATTTAATGACGTTACTGTCACGTTGATGAGCTCGAAATGATACTGTTTGTGAAATCTTCAAACAATTATTATTACACCAGAATGGAAATTGAACGAAGATTATTATTAGCGAATTTAATCGGTATAACAAACGGCCATTTCTTCCTCATCGATCTAATATCTTATGTAACCTGAAATGCTTTATTATTAATATTATTATTATTATAATCTCTTTATCTTTCCCATCATCAAATCACGATATTCTGCGACATTACGGTTTCGATTGTTTGCACACACAACTTTGAATTGAAAAAAGAAAATTGTAAAAATAAGATAGTAATGTGGATGTATACGTACCAATGCCTATCATGACGAAGCAGCATGAACAATAAAATTGAGAAACGATTTAATTAATTAAGTGAAGTGATTTACAAAGTACAGAACTGAAATTACTGTAAAAAAGAGTGTGTAATATACAAAGACAAAATAAATGTTCATTTGCATCTGTATCGAAAGATTTGAGACAGCACTGCGTATAGAGCACTGCGCGTAGTATGAAAAATTCTTCTGTAAACCTGAGAGTTTCTTAAGAAGATCTAATAAACAGTGCAGAATAACAACGAGAAAAGCCCGCTTGATTTCTTCGATCGTTACATTTAACTGCACTCATATCCACTGGCAACGAGTCAAATTAAACTATCTTCTAAAGAATACTATTATAAGACGATAATTTTTTACGTTTCCGTGAGCTCCGATAGCTTTTTAAACGATCTAATCGATACGAACCTTAAGAAATAGATTTAGTTAGATTATTCGGATAATTACAAGTTGTTTGTTGNGAGGAGATAAGATTATTCGAATCTTGCGCCTTGTTTTTATAATTATTAATAATCGGCAACTAAAAAAAAAAATGAGCCGCGAGGCTCGTATAATCGTATCTCCTCTTCCCAAATTGTCCATTTGTTTGTACAAGCTGAAGGAAAATTAGAGAGAATTTACTGTAGTTCGTACCGTGAATGTATTTTTCAAATGTCGTTATCTCTTCTGTTCTATTTGTTTAATATTCATAAATACAATATTCTTCTGTTTCTAACATTCGCATTATATTATTATTAATGATTTTGATTCTATACTCCTTGCCAAGGGTAATATAAGATTGTTACATAAGCTATGGTTGTCTTCATAATTTGGAACATATTGTATATTTTAAATAAGTAGCTCATTTACGTTGTTAATATCGAAGATATAATCTGAACATTTTATGGTTCCACATTTGTTATAACTAATGTTTATTCAACCTAAAACGGTTGTGTAGTTAACGTCGATTTAATGACGTTACTGTCACGTTGATGAGCTCGAAATGATACTGTTTGTGAAATCTTCAAACAATTATTATTACACCAGAATGGAAATTGAACGAAGATTATTATTAGCGAATTTAATCGGTATAACAAACGGCCATTTCTTCCTCATCGATCTAATATCTTATGTAACCTGAAATGCTTTATTATTAATATTATTATTATTATAATCTCTTTATCTTTCCCATCATCAAATCACGATATTCTGCGACATTACGGTTTCGATTGTTTGCACACACAACTTTGAATTGAAAAAAGAAAATTGTAAAAATAAGATAGTAATGTGGATGTATACGTACCAATGCCTATCATGACGAAGCAGCATGAACAATAAAATTGAGAAACGATTTAATTAATTAAGTGAAGTGATTTACAAAGTACAGAACTGAAATTACTGTAAAAAAGAGTGTGTAATATACAAAGACAAAATAAATGTTCATTTGCATCTGTATCGAAAGATTTGAGACAGCACTGCGTATAGAGCACTGCGCGTAGTATGAAAAATTCTTCTGTAAACCTGAGAGTTTCTTAAGAAGATCTAATAAACAGTGCAGAATAACAACGAGAAAAGCCCGCTTGATTTCTTCGATCGTTACATTTAACTGCACTCATATCCACTGGCAACGAGTCAAATTAAACTATCTTCTAAAGAATACTATTATAAGACGATAATTTTTTACGTTTCCGTGAGCTCCGATAGCTTTTTAAACGATCTAATCGATACGAACCTTAAGAAATAGATTTAGTTAGATTATTCGGATAATTACAAGTTGTTTGTTGTAAGAAGGGAACCGAAAAATACAATAGTCTGCATTTTTTTAGATGTTATCATTAGAAAGAAATTGAATGACATGTGGTATCCAGAAATTTCAGATCAGAATTATGCATCTGTGAGCATGCACTATTTTAGTGTGCAATTGCGCTTATCCCTTTGTGAGATACAAGTCTCCGACGTGTGTAAAAGAAGCATTGTAATATTTAGCGAAAGTGTAGTTAATTTGTGTAGCATTTCAGTATCAGTGAATGAAGGAGACATTTATTTGGATTATGCGAAATGAATATTTCGATAATAGTGTTATTTTGATATTCTCTATATGTGTGTGCCGTATTCCCCCTATACCCTAACCGTTTGAGATTGTTAACATTACCATAGTTTGGAGAGGCCACGGTTCTACAGGGTTATTCATTGAAAGATCAATAGCGATTTGAATGTTTACAAAAATCTTTTAAATTTCCTGAAAGAATAGAGCTTCGAAAATGCTTTCTTAAAACGTCCTTCTTAAACTCTATAATATCGATAAAGTTCTAGGGGTTCGACAAAGACGATGCACAATAAACAAGGTGCTAAAATATTGCTATAGTCGCTACCGCAATTACGTTAGGATAATCTTTAGTTCTATTTGCGTAGCCCGTAAAAGTTTAAAATAGGGCGAGAAAATCAATGTTCAATCTTGCAAAAATGCTGCAATCTAATGACAAACAAAAGTACATGGAAAAGTACGGTAATAAGAGAAGTTTGGTAATTTCGTGGAAGAAAAATTAACGAAACTGACCTAAACCATTGCATTCTGAATTAAAATATTCCCTCAGGAAGCCTTGTGTAACAGATCATCAATGAAACCAGTCGTCAAAATATATTTCGATTGGCTGGTATTGTCATTTTTCAATCATACTTGCAAATAACTTTACGAGTAAATTTTGGAAAATAACAGAGCTAGTACACCTGCGATAATCATCTACACCAATGCAACTTAAAACAACGTTGACACTTCTAACGTGTTTTCGTCGAAAGTATTTCATTAATGATAAACGTGAATATATTTCGTAAAGACCGGTAATTTTTTCGAGCGACACAACTTTTAGAACGTAACGTATACAAACAACAATATCCATCATTCCGAAGTATCAATTTTGGTTACGTATACAAATAACACAAATGCGAATTAAAAAAGAATATAGAGAAATAAAATAATATATAGAGAAATAAAATAATATATAAAGAAATAATAATATATAAAGAAATAATAATATATAATAAAATAATAATATATAATAAAATAATAATATATAATAAAATAATAATATATGTGGTTGTATTTTTAAATTTAGGATTGCGAACATGAAGTGTAATAGTAGAGGCTATGCGTCTGTCAAAACACCAAAAACTTGAATGTAAAAGTATGGATTGAAATAAAATTATAGTTACAGGTACAAATGACGCAAATATTTTTCTTTCGATAATGAATATTTCTTTGGCCACTGCTATAAGACGATTAACCTTGAAATATGACAAAGAATTGGAAAAATTATGTACACAAGTCTTCCTTTTTAACACGATCTCCACACAATTGTATATTTAGATATGATTGATATATCTGTGATGAGTTTAATAAAAAATACATTGACTGGAAACGCGATAATGTCACGATTCTGATGTATGGGTGTAATCGGTGCAATTATAACTATAAAAGTGGGGGGGGGGTATACGTATAATCGAAAATATGTATAATATATTCACGAGAGAGTCTGAGTGTATTCTACAAGAACCTACTTTTTCATTAATTCGGACTGAATAAACACGTAGAGTAGTAATTTTCAGGAAAATTATAACTCTACTTCTATTAGGTCAGACTGCTAGATGATCAAAGATTTGTTTGAGCAGTGCAATTAACTGAAATCTGCAATTACGTGCACAAATGTGAAAATAAACCAGAGTTAGGTAAAAAGTAACCAGACTGATGATTAACGATCGTAATCTCTTTAATTATTAGATCGAATTTATAATAATTTATAATAACCAACGAGTTACAACCGTTGATCATTAATCAGGTTACTTTTCGTCCAATTATTATAAATTAGTTATAATGAATTAACGAGTTGTAATCGTTAATAATTAAACAGATTACTTTTTGCCCAGGTATGAGATAAACTAATGACAGTGTAATTAATGTAATTATTACAATGAAAATTTGAAATGGTTTTGAAGTTTTAGTCCAAACTACTTAGTGAATTTATATATATATATTTATAATATTTGTTAATCGCTGATTGCTTCGTATGAATAAGGTGTTACAAATTATTTCTGTACACACGTTAATCTTTCCAACGGTATTTTATACAATAATTTGGTGTTGGATATGTTGAAAAAGCGTCGTGTTTCTAAAAATTCATTCTACACAGAGGTTGCGATTCTGCTCAAGAGGATAATAGTGTAGTTATAGGAAGCCAATGAGTGTTATTTAACTGCTACAATGGTGGAGACAATTATCATTGTATTCCATTGTTTCTGACACAAAATTGTGTTGGAAGAAATTCACATGCAAGTCTCTATGTGGGTACTAAATTTACCGTAATCAATGACAAAAAGCAGGTGTGAAGCAAGTCCTTAGTAATTGCATTAATAGAACGATAAATATGATGGAATTATGTATGTTTGAGTGAGAATAAGTAAACACAACAGATGAGAAATCTTTAATGCATTGAACATCAATCGGTCAATAGTTTTCGATGGCACTGAACCTAAATGAGAACATGAAGAAGATGTATTAAAGTCGAACGTAGAACGAGTCGAATGAAACAAATGACAAATTTCTTGTTATTAATTACCTAAGACAGGGCTCGGAATTATCGGCTTGCAACATCCCAGATCACGAGGCATGTCGCGTGCTGATAATTCCGAGCCTCGATCTGAGAAATAACACAGACTTAGAATCTCTTTTATTATCTCTTGATGATCTCTAGATACATTAATATTATATTTACCCACACTGCAGTACACATATCATTTATAATAGTATTCAATTGCAGCGCATAAATCTTTCTGATGTTCAATGGACATAATCGTTGCTATGATGAAACGTGTATGGTAGACAATTTCAAATTGTTATTGACGAATTCTGTGCGCTTACTTCTTGAATTCGCAAAAGCAAAAGAACTCCAACTATTCAACCTTTGATTTTAATGGATATTTTTAACACAACGATGTACTGAATCCTGACGTATATAGTCAATAATCTATAAAACACGAACAATTAAAGTTATATATTTATGAGAAGCGATGTAAACGCAAGATACGCAATAAATTATGATTAACGTGGAATTTAACGATAATACTTATTTCTGAGCAACGGTAAAAACGCAAATATTAAACAAAAAATTATAGCAATGCATGAAATTGATATGTTTTGCTATAGATGTGTAATAAATTATATAGATAGCGTACATCTCACTTATATTGATCGTAAACACCGATTTAATAAAAAATTTAGGATATATTAACATAGATCGTGGGATGTATACGTTGAATATATTTTATAATAATGGAACAAGTATTCAATATGTATAAATGAAACTGCTTGTAGCTAAACGAGTGTTTATTAAATGTTCGTGAAGCTTGTTTTTCCACAATGATCTGTGATTAAAAAATATGTCGAGAGAACGACAATTAAACATCTTTAATATCAGCTTACATGTACAGCGTTTCTCCTAGGTACATAACATGAATTGTTCGTGTTTTTAAAATGTATGTATAATAATTATACCGTGGATTTTTTATGCAAAATAAAATTCTCCTAAATCAACTGCGTGAAACAGAAATGAGATAAAACTTAATTTTTCCTTTTAATAATTTTAATAAGTCATTAACACGTTCCGTGCCGAGCTTTTTTTACTCGAATCTTCACACTTTGATATTTTACTAAAACTTGATGTATTACGTGCAATTATTAATTCTCGTACACATAACAACGTAACAAAAACTTATCAACGCCCATTCTTGCGGTGGAAATTGATTCTTCGGTTCTAAATTTCTTGTAAACAATTTGTTCAGTTCACTAAGTAAACATGCAAGCGTGTACCATCGATGGTACACGTGGCACGGAACGTGTTAACGATGCAACAATATTCTTAAATATTTCCAGTATCTTCGCAATGTTCGACTTCGCCTATTCACTTTTGTCATAAATGTATAAAATCCGCGGTCTAATAACAATTCTTGTCTTTAGGAGTCTGTGTACTTCCATTTCATGAGATCTCGCTAAATTCGACCTGAGGACAATCGAAGTTCGTCCTTTGACAACTGAATGGAAATGATAGGGATCTCGAGATAGGAACGAGAGCACAATAGCTGAACAGGCACAGAAACATTACTAGAATGCATACATGTATGCTGTTAAGTTGTGTGCTGGTTATTTTTTTAAATGTTTCCTCGATATGGTACTAAATTGAAAGATCTTTACTTGCCTAAGATTATAAACGGTAGTTCTGTGTATATATTCCCTGTCAGGTTCACCGTGTTATTAGTATCGATTGTACCTCGTCGTATACGTCAGGCAACAAATGCCGTTGCTCAAAATATGGAACGATGACAGTCTTTTGGTTAAGAATATTCAAATACCGGTAGACTTGTTTCATTTGGAAAGACCACGTTCTGCTTGGCCAACAAAAGTATAGTTTCATAGTAACGTCAACAGAAGTAGCGGAAATCGATTTCTTCTGAATNACACTTTGATATTTTACTAAAACTTGATGTATTACGTGCAATTATTAATTCTCGTACACATAACAACGTAACAAAAACTTATCAACGCCCATTCTTGCGGTGGAAATTGATTCTTCGGTTCTAAATTTCTTGTAAACAATTTGTTCAGTTCACTAAGTAAACATGCAAGCGTGTACCATCGATGGTACACGTGGCACGGAACGTGTTAACGATGCAACAATATTCTTAAATATTTCCAGTATCTTCGCAATGTTCGACTTCGCCTATTCACTTTTGTCATAAATGTATAAAATCCGCGGTCTAATAACAATTCTTGTCTTTAGGAGTCTGTGTACTTCCATTTCATGAGATCTCGCTAAATTCGACCTGAGGACAATCGAAGTTCGTCCTTTGACAACTGAATGGAAATGATAGGGATCTCGAGATAGGAACGAGAGCACAATAGCTGAACAGGCACAGAAACATTACTAGAATGCATACATGTATGCTGTTAAGTTGTGTGCTGGTTATTTTTTTAAATGTTTCCTCGATATGGTACTAAATTGAAAGATCTTTACTTGCCTAAGATTATAAACGGTAGTTCTGTGTATATATTCCCTGTCAGGTTCACCGTGTTATTAGTATCGATTGTACCTCGTCGTATACGTCAGGCAACAAATGCCGTTGCTCAAAATATGGAACGATGACAGTCTTTTGGTTAAGAATATTCAAATACCGGTAGACTTGTTTCATTTGGAAAGACCACGTTCTGCTTGGCCAACAAAAGTATAGTTTCATAGTAACGTCAACAGAAGTAGCGGAAATCGATTTCTTCTGAATCGCTGGCACAGAAGTGACCCTGACTGCTCCAAATTTTTACAGTTGAATACGATGGTGTGCGTGTATGTGTGTTCAGGTACGCGAAATAAATAACTGTAGCTCAAAAATTTGGGAGCTCGGTTTTTTATTTCGAGTTTTATTATTATCAGAATGACACGAACGAGAAATTTCATTTCGTCGACAAAACACATAGCTTCCTCTACACAATTACTGCACAATAATGCTCTTAATAGTTATTTCATTTCGTTATACCAAACTTATAGAAGTGAAAAATGGAAAATTTGAACGACTTCTTTGCTGCAATTTGCAAACTTTTTCGTTTCATAACAATGCAAATACGTGGGAATGAGATATGACAAATGGGACCGAATGATACTGTTATTTTGTGTAAATAGTTGTGTAAATTCGTCGAACTTTGAACTTTTAAATTATTCATTGTCGGTTTTATGGCAATTTTATACATCCGCCAGTAGAGTCATATGAATCAAATCATGGTGACCATGTAAATAAATACGTGAAAGTAATCACGTTCTTAAAAAAAAAGAATGAAAAGAAAGGAAAGATATGCATCAATCAGATAGTTATATTATACTTCTCGTAATAAAGTAAAGTTTTAATAACTAAAAATACATTATATTTTTAAAAAAATAAGCGTATTATAATTATAACGAAATTCCATTATTTATTTATAAATTTCTATCGACGTATCGAACATCAAAGTATTTTTATAGCGTTGATGTGTGCACATCAACAATATTCTAAGATCCTGAGTCTAAGAAACTATAATTTACTGACCTCCTTATGGTTTCATAGAAGACTATTACAATCTATTATTAATAAAGTGATCGAAAATCAAACAAATTTGAATATTTTGCTGCTCGGTGTTGTTAAAAAAGAACAAGTCTGCAATGTATGAAATACGGAATAAAAATGTCTCATAGTTTAAAACTAAACCCACCTAATTGGTCAAAATGACTGCACATTTTTTATTTTGAAGTTGTTGAAATTGCAAGAACTTTTTCATAGGAAATGATTGCACAAATTTCTTGATACAGGCGTACATTAAAATGAAAATTGCGAGAAGTCTAAAAATAAATGCAGTGTTCCCATCGTTATGAAGTACAAATTAATTTTGATTTCAAGCAACATGTTATGATGTATTATATGTTGAATCAGAAAGCTTGAAATCCTCTTTAATGAGCTTCTGAACGATTTCTTTTGCATTTCGTAATAAACAGCTTCAAATTGAATAACAAGAAACGATTTTGTTACTGATCCTTATCGCGAACATTTTTACTCGGAATAACTGTTATTTCCGGTCCCTAATTAATATAAATAAGATTTACAATGGAGGAATATGATGAATAACATATTGGACTAGAAAGCTTGAAATCTTTCAATCGTGTACGAAATTGAATAAAAAAACACGGGATTTTGTTGCTGGTCCCTTTCACGAAAATTTGTCAAATAACCGTTATTTTTGATCCCTGGAATTAATATGTTCAATGCATTAACGATGAATCATCTGTTCAAGGAACAAACCGCAATATGTGTCGCGATAAAAACGATTGATTCGTCGTTGAATGTTGCAGCTTAAGTTTCGTAAAATCGAATCACTCGTTGCCAGTGTTCGAGAAGTGGCGAGCGATGCAGAGAGAGAACCGAGAGAGACAGAGACAGAGTGAGAGAAAAAGAGAGAGAGACAGAGAGAAAGAGAGAGAGAGAGAGAGAGAGAAAACAAAACCGATATAATCTCGTTTAGATTGTATAGATTGAAAGTAACAACAATTAGAGTAGAGTTAAGTATACATAATGAAAAATCTAAGGGTTGGAGGGCGGACCTTGATCTTAGTCACAGCCTCCCGCACTATGTGGTTGTTAAGGCGCTTACGTCTCCCTTCCTCTTCAACTTCAACCGAGCCGAGAAAGTGGAGCCTGAAAACGGTGGTTGGCTTCATAGAGCCACTGATTGGGGCTAGCTTCGGTTGAAGGCCCGCAGTCTGTGACTCGGACTGGCCTCCACCGGACGCGTTCCCTATAAGTTCTTCGCTCGAGTCGCATTCATCTTCCTCGAGGCTTCCTTGCGAGGCAATGCTGCATCGACCGAAACCATGCTGCCCCCCATAGTTTAACTGCGTAGCTTGCATACCCGTAGCCAGTGGCCCCTCCTTCCGTAACGTAAACAGACAAATGCGCTTGCTATAGTCAGGGCAAAAGATTTTGGCCGGTCAAGGTCGCTTCCCTTTCTACTCCCCCGTCTCCTGATGCGCACACAGTCTCGAATACGCGGAGTATACTATTTTTGCTGTTTACAGATACACTGATAATTATTTGATACCGTCTAATTGCTCGATTCGAACACGGTGACTCCCATAAGTATATGTACCCTTTCTAAATCGGTAGGAGGCATCGAAACCGGTTACTGTTGGGTGAGCAATTGCTGTGACTTCGATTCGTTTTCGGGCATAATTAACTTTATATTTATGGAATAAAATATATTAAACTTTTTTATTCTTTATTTTGCTCATTTGCGAATAAAAAAATTTAATACGTCTTATTTGATTGATATAAAGTCAATTAAGTCAGAAGACGAGACAAAGGCACAGTGATCGATAACCGGCTCAACTACCTAAATTTTCTTAAAATTGCGTTAAATGATCTGAATTTTTTTTAGATAAAATATATTTAAAAAATGTTAATGACTGAAATATTTTTGTTTAATTCTGCTGTTACTTGGTATGGCAAAAAAATAAAAAGATCCTCGTTTTGCAACCTTTCTATCTGAGCCAATAACATTCCAAGTAATAGAAAAATTAAACAAAAATATTTTAGTCATTGTCTATTAAAGTAGTCCCTGTATCATCTAAAGAATTCAAGTAATTTACTCTAATTTTAAAAAAGTTATACCGTTCTAAAAGGGACACGAATACTTATGGGACTCATCTAAAATCTCTACGTAGAAGCCGGTGTAAATTATTTACCTCAGCTCTACAAGATGATCAACGTTGATCCCGAAGAATTAGGTTTTAAAATTTTATAAAAGGAAGTCGGTACGCAAGAATTTATACAAGGTCAATCTATTTAAATGGTTTTGCCATTTCACAGACCTAGATACGGACTAAAAATTCCTTTATTTTCTTTTGCTTTGTTAATTAGGAATGCTGTAAATAGTGAAATATTTTTTAACCACGGGAAAATATTGTCCAATATTGTTTTTTCCGTACATGTATCTATAAACAACAAAGATATTCACGTTTCATTTTAATTTATGTGCCCTATCCTCTTTAGTATTATTCCTAAGTATTTGCCCCTTTGCCGAAGCAACGTTTGTTCTCTCCACGCTTAATATTTTAGAGTTTCACGATTCATAAAAGAATATGTATATATATTATTTTACAATGATTTAACGACATCTCTGGAGTACGATCTGTGTTCAGTTCTGATATGTTAGGTTCATCGAATCTTTGTAAAATAATATTTCGTTGTAAAATAATATTGTAATACACATATTTTTGATCGATCTGTCTCGCACTTTGGTGAAAGAAATATAATGAGTTGTACAAGGCAAACTAAACTGTTGTTATTAGAATATATATGCAATAATCTCCAGCAATTCTTAGTCTCCTTAAGTTAAACGTTAAGAGAATAAATATATGTATATCCATACCATAAAAACTGATTCCTATGATCTTTGTATCAGCACTTATCTATCATTTATAAATCGCACCACTATTATTCATTATACCATAGAACTAATCGACAAGTATAAAAGAGAAAAGAATAGTGAGAGGATACAAGATGGTAGCAACCTAAAATGGAATCTTATCAACTACTCTCTGCATCATGTTGTCAGTTCCCAAGCAGACACCCGAAATCTCTGCAAACAAGTTGCGCACAGTTCTAACGATACACTCGTGCAACTGTTGCCAACCCGATACTAGTTGCTTGCAAACGTCAAATCGGATTTACAAAATACCGTAGAAAGCGTATAACGTAGAATTGCTGTGACAAAGGCACTTATTAAGAAAATGTAACAATTCCGTCGCGCTCTCCATGAAAATAGAATTCTCCGCCAAAGGAGCGATGACTCTGAGGCACCATTAAAAATTGTTACAATCACGTTCCAAAATAATTTTTACGTTTTCATCTATATTTCAAGAAAACTGTTAAACTCCAGACTCAATTTTACGGGCATAATGTGCACTTAGTTATACAGCATGGAAATACCGTAAGTCGGATAAACTATTTCGCGTTTAGAGTTAAAACGGAGTGCAGAGGGTTAATTAATTAAAAGTGGTGCGAAGAAGAACAGTTGATGTTTGCTGTGCCTAGGTAGATCCTAGAACTACACTATATTTCTTTCATTCGGAAAATTCCATACTATACGATGCACAGTTAGCACATCGTTTTTTACCACCTCCTAAGCGACACGGAGTAGGATGCTCGGTAGTATGGTGAGGGAAAGTTGCCGGATGGCCTTGAACGGCCGATATCTTTTGCTCCGACTATAGTCACATTACCACGCACCACCGATACCACGGGCAAACGCGGAATACGCTTTCTCTACGGTGCTCTTATCATCGGCACAAATTCAATATTTTCGTCTAACGTAATCGACGGCAAACGGCACTATCTCGTGCATCACTACGTCCATTCAAAGGTAACACCTTTCTCATTATCTCTGTGAGGAGCTACTAAGTGAAATAATAAGGTCATACACGATCGGTATTATATTTCGTGTTGGTTTTTATATTCGACCAGTGTGTCGTTGACGTGTCGTTCGTGACGTTCTCTTTTTTTTTCTTTTTTTCTTTTTTTCTTGCATGCTAACCGGTAGATACTGACTCGTCCGAGGTTACGGGTCTCGTTGGTGTTTATGAGAAGCGTTCGAACTACCGATCCGTAACAGAAGCTGGTACCGTATCATGCTCTTCGCGAGTATCCCACGTTCGTCGATGTCAAGGACGGTAATGCGGAGTTATACAAATCGACGGGTTCTCAGGGAACATTGAACATCCAACATTGCAGCGCTGCTTTGCGAGATAGGGTGTCTCTAAAGACTAAACACAGGACTATGTATAGCTAATCTTCTTCCATTTAGTTAGTTCTACAACGTAATGTTTTCGTATCTGATCGATTCGAGATCCGTTCACTTTACAGCATCTCGCGACAATAAAAACGAGATCAAAATTTTAAATATCAAATTTGATATCCAATTGGCGAGTGAATTTTCTATTCAATAATCGAAGCTTGCATCGCCGAACGCTAACCGAAATCTCATTGTTGAATTCTTCGTTTAATTCTTCAGGGGCTATCGTTGAAATTTTAAATCATCTATCGCCACATTTCTTACGCTAACTATAATCGAATATATTAAAATACTCTTAACGTTGCTGGCGTTTATTCAGATTTTACGATTCAATTCATAATGCAATTATTTTCACATAAAAATCACGGTTGCGCGGAGCTTGTAATTCCATATTTTGGATGTCGATTCTGGTTATTCTTTTTTATTCGATCCGATTTATTTACAAAAATAATAACATCACGTTTGCAATTCGTTCGATGCCGTACAGTAATGAATCGAAACGATCATTCTCGAAGGCGAACTGAAATTTCTGTATGAAATTTTGCATCTTTATTCACGCTCCAGTTAACAAAATCACGTGAAACTAACGAATCTATGAACACAAATGTTTTCGCTCGTTCTATATGACATATAGTACACGAATTGTTTATAATACACGATCGTGCAGTAGAAGATATAGTGCTGCGAACAATCTACGAAGCAAAGAAGGATAGACAACTATACACAAGAGAATAGTCGCAAAGGAGCCGAATAAAGATAGTTGTGATCACATTTTTCTCATTTGTACATTCTAACAGTCACTGATACCCCATTCCAGAGCGCTCGATTCTTTATTTAACAATAAATAAATGTTACCCGTTTGCTCTAGTTCTCATACTACGAAACTCACGATCACGTTTATCTTCGTTATACACATTTTCGAAATTGATCAAAAATAGCAAGAGCAGTACAGTTTGTTATCGAAGTTTCAATATCATTGATGTGAAGCCAACGATGAACTCAAGAAAAGTTTTCTTCTTTTGTTGGCTGTTGTTTGCCCGTTCGCACGTTATTTGTGTCGGAATTTTGAATTGATGATAAATTAAACGCGTTATCAAGCTTTCCACTATTTTATCCAGCTCCTATTCTCGGACTAACTAACACAGAAAGACATCAAACCCACATAATGATATGTGTTCGGTGGTCAAGTGGTGGTGGTAATAGCACGAGGAAGGGGTGGCTATATAGAAAAACATTCAGACTTCTTTACGGAGAGTCGTCAAATTCGAACAAATATCTAACTTTGCCGCGATTAACCGAAATATCATAGTAATCGAATATTTTCTAACGTGTCCCTACGTCTTTCTAGAAATAAACTTTCAGCCATAGCGAGGCACTTGCAGCAACAGACCGACTGAGTAATTTCTATATTTTTAGAAGAAACGGAAGGTTAAAACTTTCAAATGAAACGAAGGAAAAAAGAAGTACAGTAACTTAATTCGAAAAGAATATGAAACATTTTGTGTTCATGTTACCTTGTCTTTACAGTGAAATATTACAATACAATTACACTGTGCTCCAGTATTTAACACGTTCCGTGCCCAGCTTTTTTTACTCGAATCTTCACACTTTGATATTTTACTAAAACTTGATGTATTACGTGCAATTATTAATTCTCGTACACATAACAACGTAACAAAAACTTATCAACGCCCATTCTTGCGGTGGAAATTGATTCTTCGGTTCTAAATTTCTTGTAAACAATTTGTTCAGTTCGCTAAGTAAACATGCAAGCGTGTACCATCGATGGTACACGTGGCACGGAACGTGTTAAACAAACTTTTCTCTAACGTTTACATAAACGTGTTAGAAGTATTTCCTGGCGTTACTAATATTTTTCTGTTCGAAAACATCTGAGGACACAAAATACAATCTACACGGCTATCATAATCCTCTTATTTCACGCGTATTCTGTATCTCTTCATTTTCTACCATCCCCCTTCTTAAATTTATATGTTTAAAAGCTTTTCTTCTCTTCGTTCAATTATACAAGTTACCCGATCAGCCTGTTATAATGAATAGACTGCGGATTTTATGGAT